CATATCCACTGATCACCTTGTGTGTGCACCCACTTTGGTTGGACTGTGATGAAAGATGCTGAAGGGAGGAATGAGAAAAGGCCAGTCTACTCAGTGGACAACAGAAACGGTGGCAGTCACCCCATGCACTATCTAGAAAGGTTAAGCAAATTGTGACACATTTATTCACTGGCCTTGCTGCCACACTCAGTACCCACACAGGCCAAATCCCCCAGCCTAGCCCCACCCTGGGATTCATGATAGTCTGTCTCACTCTGCTTCCCTGCTGGGCAGTCTTGGGAAAGTCAGCTAACCACTCTGAGCCTGGGTTCTCATCTGTAAAGTGAGACTAATACTTACCACACAGGGGTTGCTATGAGGATGAAATCAGATAACACTGTGCTCCATTAATTTTTACTCCCTTCCTTTGCCTGAAACTGATGCTGGCCCGCCCCTTCCAATAAAGAGTCTGGGAGACCAACGCCATCAATAACGGGACCACTCGCTCGCCCAGATTCCTCTTTTCTGCGACAGAAAGAGCCGGTAGAACACTTTTCAAATCTAGTTCCCTTCCATGGAAACAGCCTAGCGGCTTCCGACGCTCGCTCTTCATCCCTCTTCTTCTGTGACAGCTGGACAAAAGGAGTTCTTCAGACATTTGGTTTGTTTTTCTTCGGTTACGAGCTGGCTTTTCACTCCATAAAATTTTTGAAAGTGAAGGCAATCCCTGAGTAAAAGAATGATGTGATGCAGGCATAATAAAATGCAGAGCTCTGTGTGTGTGTGCGTATATACACGCACATGTGGGCACACGTGGGCATCTTGTGCTTATGCGTGTGTTGGGATGCAGCGACCAACTCATAGCTGGAACAACACAGTCCAGGTGGCCCTGGTGGTGGGCCCTGGGGGAGGGGAGGGGAAGAAGGGGTACCTGGTCATCTCTGTGCTTCTCTGGATGAAGTAATGCATGGGCAGGAGGGAGCCCTGCCCTCTGGACATGAGAGTAGTGGTTCTCAACTCAGGCTGTGCACAAGAATTACCTGGGGAGCTTTTCGAAAGAGACCAATAACTGGGTCCCCCAGACCAATGAAATAAGAGGTCCTGGGGTGCTGTTTGAGCATCCACACAAGTGATTCTAACATGCAGCCAGGGCTGAGACCTACTACTTATCTAAGCAGAACAGGAAGGTTCAACTTCTCTTAAATAGAGAACTGTGTCCCCTCCACCAGGACCTAGTTCCCACCCATCAGCCCCTAAGATCAACGGCATTGCCATTTTCCACACTCTGAAATTCCTGGCCAATGAGATAAGGAGCTAGAGTCAGGTTTACTTGCTGGGCTTGCAAATGATCTGGTAACAAACACCACTTCTTTCTTGTTTGGGCTACTGATGGTGGGGAGCAGGACATCAGCTCAGAGACCCCCTTCCATCATGCAATGACCTTTCTTTGGGGGGCATTTTGCTACAAGGAAGGCTTTAAAGTCTGCCCCAGTCTTCTTGTTTCTCATCTCCTTCCCTTCTACTTCGCACACTCACCACTGTGTGCCCCAGGGCAAAACCAAACATGTAAACATATATGGTCATGACTGCTTTGTCAAAAGTCAGGGGTTTCGAGGAATCCAAGTGGGAACTAGAACAATTTCCCACCCTTTCCTTCCCTCCCTCCATGCCCTTCTCCATAAGCCCATCAATCACTTAGAGCTTCTGTGAGAAGAAAGAAAAGAAAACAAAAGAGAACAGGAGAGAAAGAATGAGAAGCAGAGAAAAAAGAGTAGAAGAGGGGGGCGTGGCAAGCTAAGTTTAGAGACACACTGAAATACCACTCTTTAAGGTGGGGCAAAATATAGAGGATCCTTAGCTTTTTGTGGCTGGACCCCAAAATGTCACCCCTCCCTCCTCTCAGCCCTCACCCCTGCTTTGTTCTTTGAGCAAAAGATGATGCTGGTATTATACTTCTACTTAAAAAAAAAATAGTGGTCAATTTGGACCTCTCAGTCCAAATCCCCAATTTGGGAATGCAGTCAAAAAAGCAGAATTCCATCCCAAAGAAGAGAATGGATGAAAGCCAAGTGCATTTGAGTATGGGATTAAGGATCAGAGGCACTAATTTTGCATGAACTGCTCTGGCCTTCCTGGGATATATTTTTAATGCGGTGATGATAGCCTTCCAGTGGCCGCTGGCAGCATCTCAGTATCTTCAGGGATGAGAGAGAAGGGGGTGTGTAGGGAGCCTGTTTCCCAGCAAGCTTGGAGGTGATTAGCACAAGTCACGAGCATGGAGGGGGAGGAGGAGGCCATAGTGCAGCCTCTGGCTTATTACCAGTGAGGTCTGATGCTGGACTCCTCAGGGGGGGAAAAAATCAATGACCCAGGAAAACGACACCAGCTGACAACCCCAGGAAAAGGCTGAAGGAAGAGCTGCAAAGATGAGAAAGGCTTAAGTAACTTTCCAAAACTCTGCACTGCTAATCTCCTGGGAATCCCTTACTGTACAAACAATGGCCAGGACCCCTGACATTCTGGCACTTTTTTCATGTGGATACCCCATCCTTTCTCCATCCCCTTCTTCAGAGGGTAAAAGGGACTCCAGGTTCCCTCCATGCTCCCTCCATTTCGGTTTTTGATGTTTCCCTTGTTTAGAAAAACAAGTGTCTGCATTGTCAGGTGATGCTCTCCAGCTCTGGGCTATTGTTATAAGTCTCCTTGGGGGAGGTTCCCCTGTCCCCTTGCAGGCCTCTGGTTACTACTCACCTCTCCAAGTTCATAAAGAGAAACAGGACTGCCTGTCCCCCGGAAAGCAGGCATCAGGCTTTGAGGCCACTGGGGTGGGGTGAGGGGTTGGAGTTACGTGACCTGGATCCACTGCTTTGACTAAAATATTCAACAAACTCAGACTGTGGTCCTTGGAGCTTAGGAATTTTCCTCAGTGCTGTGTATCATGTGGTTAGAGGGTCCCTATAGTTTCATTAAGTTTCAGGTCAAATTAATCAACTTTCCGAGACTTCATCTTTCTTCCGGAGCCGTTTATAATGTTTCCTGATGCCACACGATATAGAATTTAGATTTAAATTTGAGGGTATCTGTGGTTTGGGAGGATGCTATTTTTCTTTTCTTTTCCCAGAAAGGCTCCCTGACACTTTCTCCCTACAATTCAGATCTCGGAAAGCAAAGCTGATACAAGGAAAAGTGGGGGCTGCTTGTGGATGGACCTGGCAATATCACCCCCTACCGCTGGCTCTGGGAGTTTTAAACCATGGAATTCAGGTTCCCACAGAAAACAGAAGGAAATTCCTTTTAACACTTCTGTCATTTAGAAGAACAGGTATCAAAGCATCCACTTCCCTCAGGATATAGCCTCCCTGTTTCATAGCTCAAGTTTACCCTCTGTTACAGTTGCTGCATACAGACAAATCCAAGCTTGAGCTTGGGTGGTAACCTATAGACTGCTACAAGCATTGCAACTGCTTCACTAAAGAAACAAATTCTAAGTGTCTATAATCTGTGCAAACAATCTAATGGTTACACCGCAATTTATCTAAAGCAATATTTATTCAGTTGCAATGATGTCACACAAGAAAAGGGCTGTTGGCTTTCAAGTCTTTCCTTACAATATTCAGAGCTAGAAGGTGGCTGGATTCAGAACTGCTCTCCAAAGCTTACATCAGCAAATACAGAACTTTTCTAGCAGCCAAGAAAGTTCTAGTACAAAAAAAAAAAGTCAATAGCACTTGAAAAGCATTTCCCTAGCACATTTACCTCAGCGTTCTGCTCCTGTGGCGCTCAACATTAAGGACCACAAATTTACTTGCCAAATAGGCATATCTCAGCTTCCTTTGCCAGGTAGAAACACTGCCTTGATATTAAATATTCAAAGAAAAGAACCTCTGACCTAAGGGCTCTCGGCTAACAATGACATTCTCTGTAAGTAAACTAGAAACCCAGCTCAGCCTCTGGTTTGCCAGTGTTCTCCGCCATGTACTAGTCTCCTGCACAACAGGGCTGAGGACTGACTCCCTTTACCATGATTTGATTGCAAAAGACCCTGCAGGCAGGGCCCTCCAGGGACTAAGCAAAGCCTGGACTTGGCAAAAGATCATGGAGAAGGGGGAGAGTGGGGTTCAGAGCTCCTTCCTGGGCTGGGAAAGGGTGAAGGCTCGCCAGAGGGAAACCCACGTCTGTTACAACTGCAAGGACGTTTGCTACTCCAGGCATATGCAACGGTAATAAAAGAAGGTGGCTCCTATAGCCATCATCTACCCAGAAACTTCTCTCGCTATGCGGTGTCACACCTACAACTCCAGAACTATCTGAAATCAGCTGCGGGAGAATTGGTCCAAGTCTCGCCAAAGAAAAAGCCTCATCGTTTCCTGGGAGGAAGAAGTCGTTAAGGAGACGGACTGGAGAGGGGGACGCTGGTATCTTTTGGCGGTAAAGTCATGCTATCCCCACCCCCTCAGTATCCTCCCTGTTCTGTAAGCTTCTGCTCACCTCTCGCCACACCTCCACCCGACCTCTTGTATCCTCGGGCTTCCCTTGTGCCTGTTGACGGAGACTTCGGGTCGTGTGCCCTGGGATAGTCTCCTTATACACGAGCCCCCGGGAGACTGCGGGGGCACGCGGACTAGGCGGTGGCAAACCAAGTGCGCTTTTCGGACACAGCACGTGTATTTTACAGCCTTGGGCGCCGCAAAGGGCTCAGCTTAAGGAGCCTCCAGCGGACACTCATCCATCAAAGTGGAGTCGCTGATGCTGAGAGATTGAAGTCAACAGCAGGACGAGAAACTCCGAATACGTTACCCACCCTTCCTTCTAGGGGGGGTGGGTAATATATTCCTCTGCCGCCACCCCACACACAGCCACCTATATGCCAAGGGCTCACACCAGGCAAGAAAACTGGCTATGAGCGCGCCCCAACTTTAATCCAACCCTACCGTGCCCCCTCCGGCGACTGCCCCCAGACGAGGGCTCACCTGCGCGCGCCGCAGCGCTGGGGGCGCACAGCGAGGGAGGGCGCTTCTTACCGGAGAAGTCCGTGAGCGCTGCGATCTCTTTGGAGCAGACCAGGACAGTGCAGTAGAAGAGACGAAGGAGCTGCCCCGGCGGCTCCACCTGCCTGCGGAGGCCGGGATGCTGCGCGGACTGGGGTGAGGGCGGCGGGCGCGCGGGTCCCGGCAGGAGCATGGTGCGCGGCGCGGCGGAGCGCGGGCGCGGGCCCGGGGCGCGCGGGGGGTTACTGGGCGGAGGACCGCGTCACATGGCGGGGTGAGTTGGTGGCCAGCGGCTCCCCGGCCCCCTGCCACCACCTCCCGGCTCAGGCTGCCAGAGCCTCCTCTCTGGCGCGGGCCAACACCGGTTCCCCAGCAAAGGGGAGGGGGCGGAGAACTGGGGCGGGGCGAGGAGCCCCGGGAAGGATCCGCGTAGTTTCCCCGAGAGGAAATCTCCGCTGCCACTCCGCGGGAGGAAACGAGGGAGGGGGTGGGCCAAAGGGAAAGTGTAGCTTTCGCGCACCCCAAGGCTGCGGAGGCCGGTCCCTGGCGAGCTGCCCGCCGCGGAGAGAGCCCCCAACAGCGCGCCGAGAGCCGCGCAACTTGAGCGCCTTCCACGCCCGGGTCCCCGCCCCTGAGACCGCCCGGCACCCCTGGCCCGGCCTGCGCTGGCCAGTTGCCAGCCTCGCCCTGGCCGCGGGAGGAGCGCGGCTGGTGCCCGTGACGCACTTTGGAGCCAGCGCCGCGCGGTGAGCCGGGGCGCCCCGGGGCGGGGCTGAGGCCGGGGCGGGGGCCTCAGGAAGGTGGGGTCCTGGAGGTGCGAGACCGCGGCGCTGACGTCCCTGCGACCCGCCGCGCTCCACGTGAAGAGTCACCAAGAACGTCCAGTTGTCCCCATTTCACAGAGGCGGAGACTGAGTCTACGCAGCCAGGACGGGAAAGAGCTGGGGGTGGAGATGGGGGGGTCCCAAAACCGGACGGATGGCTCCAGAGCCGATGTTTTTTCGATCCGACTAAACACGTCCTTTGGGTACCGGTTGTACGCAGGGTTTAGATAGGATCTGACACCGGACCGACATAAACAACCACCCAGCGCTAATAATCGGGCTTTGTTCGAAAATGGGCCACAGCATCTTTCTGAACCTCTCGGTTACGCGCGGTATTGCCCACGTTTGGACGCCCAGCCCGTGGGCGAGGAGCGCACTGAGTGGCCCGGGCTCGGGGGACGCGAGGACAAGTGCGTAGGACTCCGTGGCTGCGCCGGGCACGGGGACTTGGGCCCCAGCGACCCCCAACCCCGGAGACCGCGCGGGGCGTCCGGGCCAGACGGTGCCGGTGGGAGGGCGGAGGGCCCGGCGGCGGGCGCTCCGCACAAAGTGTTCCGGAACACCGCGGGGAGGCCTGCCAAATTCGCAGCGGGCCTGACGCGGAAACGTAGCTAACGAGGCCCAAGGGCGGGACCAGGCGCACTGCCCCGGCCGGCTCCGAACTGCAGTTGCGAACTCGGCAGAGTGAGGCGGAGAGGGCGGGGCGGGGGGTTAGCGAAAGAAAACCGAGACGCGCCGGCCTTCTAGAGGTGGGACGCAAGGATCCCAGAGGGCTGCATGACGCTGAGTCCCACACCTTGCTTCAGCAGGGCCAGGGCCGGCTGAATTGGGATTCTGGGCCCAGTAGTATTTGTTGAGTGGGACCTAGTGTGCCAGGCACAATGATTTTTTAAATCTACATTAAAATACCCAATCTTCTCAATAACCCTCAGGCCTAAGTAGTATTAGTGTGCACTTTCTAGGTTGAGGAAACTGAGGCAGGGAGGTGGGTAAGGATGCCTAGCAGTTAGTAACGTTTGCTCCAAACTCAGGCCCCATCTGTACTTTGCATTCCATCCATTCGTTCATCTATTCAGTTTAGCTATGAATTGGGTACCTACATGTGTCAGATCCTGAACCCAGGGGCTGGGGACGCTGGCACAGGAAAGAAGTCATGCTCCTCGGGAGGGAGCCTGGAGGGCTGCTGCCACTGTCCTGTAGGTGTGCTCTGGCTTCCAGATGGCAATGTGTAACTGTTACTATTATAACTGTGACAGCAGCACCCCCAGGCTTCCTTATCTGTAAAGTCCTCAGACTTATTGTGAGGCTTATACAGGTGAGTTGATACAGGTGATGTGGATAGGAGAGGGCCTGGAACCAGAAAGTGCTCAGTCAATATTAGTCATTATTACAATGAGGAAGACAGACATTGAACAGGTAACGCCAAGTAAGCCGAGGGTCATGAACAAGAAGGGGCCATGAGGGGGGAGCAAAAATGGGGGAGCTGAGCCAGAGGGCGGGAGAAAGGTGTTAGGGACCTTTTTAGGACAAAAATGAATAAGAACGATGGGAAGAGTTGGCCAAGCAAAAGCTATTGTTGTTTCCCTAAAAATAAGACAGGGTTTTACATTAATTTTTGCTCCAACAATCTACGTTTATTCATTTACTCATGTACAAAAATCTACATTTATTCAAACAGTCATGCCTGGCTGACGATCTCAACTGGGGGCTTATGTTTGGGGTAGGGCTTAATATTATGAGCATCCTAAAAAAATCATGCTAGGGCTTATTTTCCAGTTAGGTCTTATTTTTGGGGAAACATGGTAGGTGTTTGGGGAATGTGAACATTTTAGAAAAAAGGACCAGCATGTATGAAATCCAAAACAAGCATGGCTCCGTAGAAGAATGGAGAGAAGTTCCGAGAGGATGGAACAGAAAGCCAAGGGCAGGTGGATGTGGAGACATCGGCAGCCAGAGCTCAGGGACCTGGAGACACAGTGAGCGTTTCCATCTTCATCTTCAGAATTGTAAGCAGATGAATGACATCATCAGGTGTGTGCTGTTAAAGGTTACTCTGGCTGTTGAGTGTACCTGGACTGGAAGGATCAAACGGGGGTTCAGAGATTATGTACCCAAAAGAATCAGGAGCAGGGACCCCAACAAATACTTGTTCGCCAGTATTCACTACAGCACTATTCACAATTGTCCAAAGGTGGAAGCAATCCAAGGGTCCATGGATGGATGATGGGATCAACAAAATGTGGAATAGTATTCAGTCATAAAAAGGAATGAAGTTTTAAAATTATTTATTTATTTATTTATTTATTTATTTATTTATTTATTTTAAGGAGGGCACAGCTCACAGTGGCCCATGCGGGGATGGAACCAGCAACCTTGGTGTTATCAGCACCACGCTCTTACCAGCTGAGCTAACCAGCCACCCCCAGGAATGAACTCCTGATACACGCTACAACATGGATAAACCTTGAAAACCTTATGCTAGGTTCAATAAGCCAGACTCAAAACAACAAATATTGTATGATTCCACTTACATGAAATGTCTGAAATTGGCAAATTCAGAGACAGAAAGTAGATTACAGGTTACCAAGAGCTGGGAAAAGGGGGAAAGGGAAGTTACTGCTTAATGGGTACAGCGTTTCTGTTTGGGGTGATAAAAAGTTCTGGAAATAGTGGTGATGATCACACAACACAATATTGTGAATGTAACCAACACCACTGAATTGTACACTTAAAATGGCAAATTTTATGTTACATATATTTACTAGAACTTCAAAAAATTAATAACATGCCAAAAACCTTTGAACTGTATGCTTGACAGGGTGAGTTGTGTGATATGTGAATTATATCTCCACAAAGCTGTTTTCCTTAAAAATCAAGCAATAACAACAATAAAATGGGTCCAGGGAGATGGTTAGAATAGAAGTGTAGCCAGGAGGCGATGGCTGTGTGTTGGGCTGGGACTTTGCAGGCGCAGAGAGAAGGGGAAAGTGGCCAAGTTGGAAAGATATTTGGAAGGGGGTGGGGGGTGGACAGTGCAGTGTCACTAGGTCGTTGTGGGACAGAGCAGACCCCATAGCTGCTCACCGTGGAGTCAGATTTTAGTCCTAATCTGATCTCTTTAAGAATTTTGGAATCATGCAAAAAAATGAAATCATTCTACTTAGCTTCCTCTCTGGAGCCCTTAGTTCCAAGTCCCTCTGTGCCCCCAACCAAATGGAAACCAATTACCACCCCCTCCTATCTCCCTAATTATTATACAATTAAATGCCTAAATTCTGGGTCACCATAAAAACTTGTAGGACAGGAAAATGGGGAGCGGAGCACACACTTTGAAGAAGGAGAAACTTGTAAAATCAATCTGGGGCACAGAGAGGTATGATCTTTTGCACCAAGGCACTTTTCCTTTTCTTTCTCCTGTGATCAAATTTTAAAAACCAGAAGCAGTCAGAGCCACATGGTTCTTCAGCTCAGTTACAGGAGCTGGAATCAAAGTGAATTCAGTGTGATGAAGGGTGAACCAAATAATAAAGTGCTCCCAAAAATATTAATACTCACAGCCACCTTTGAGATAGATCCCAGGACCCCCTGCATAATTTATTGGCCTTGTGCCAAATGAAAATGCAGGGCCCCTTGTTCAAAAATTATTAAGAATTTCAAGATAGTGACAGCAAAGCATTCAATCAAGCAGAGGCTCTTTGAGTACAAGGCCCCGAGTGACTGCACGGGTCACATGCCCACGAGGCTGGCACTACCACTTTTTCCCTGTCTCCAATGTGGAAGCTGGTGGCACAAACTCACACATATCATCTCTGGTAGGATTGGAAAGCTGCTCAAACTGCAAAAACACAGAAATTAGGGGTGGACACCGAGATGGAGTAATGTGAAAGTGTCCCTTTCTATGTGATGACACCATTGGGTGATCTTGCCCCTTCTTGCACTCGAGTTTAAGACATGTCTCTGTACCCACACTATTCATGGTATGGGGGAGAGGCCTCCTTGCAGGAAATCTAAATTACAATAGTCTCTCCATATTTGAAGTTTTGCTTTCCATGGTTTCCGTACCTGTGATCAATCGAAGTCTTAAAATATTAAATGGAAAATTCCAGAAATAAACAATTCTTAAGTTTCAAATTGCACACCATTCTGCACTGTCCTGCTTCGTCCCACCCGGGATGTGAATCATCCCTTTGTCCAGCACATCCATGCTGTGAATATAGTACAATAAGATATTTGAGAGAGAGAGAGAGAGAGAGAGAGAGAGAGAGAGAGAGAGAGAGAGAGAGAGAGAAAATTCACATAACGTTTATTATAGGTTATTGTCATAATTGCTCTATTCTATTATTGTTGTTAACCTCTTGCTATGCCTAATTTATAAATTAAACTTTATCGTAGGTATGTGTTTATATGAAAGAACATAGTATATACAGGGTTCAGTACTATCTGCAGTTTCAGGCATCCGCTGGGAGTCTTGGAACGTATCCCCCATGGACAAGGAGGGAGTGCTGTACATTTCTAAATTACATGACTTAATTTCTGCCTTTTTTTTTTCTTTTGAAGCAACCCAGTCCCTCTTTCCACCTCTAGGTGACATCCCTACCCTTGTTCCTTGAGATCTTGGCTACTTCCCTCCCCACATATCCAGCCTATTTTGGAAGATGTTTGTGTGCTGTGTCTCTCACCTGTGCCATCCAGGTAAGGCTTCAGGCTCTCAACAAAGACCATCTGCAACCGTGCTTAGAAGACATAAACCACCATTTGTCAGCTACAAAGAAACCAACCTTTCAGCTCAGGAAAGT